TTAAATCAAACATATCAAATCCCCGCCGTGTCACCCAAGATCAAATGGGAAAGTGGAGAGATTTGTTGATACACTCAAAAGAGCGTTAAGAAAAGCATATGATGTGCCTACGGAAAAAGCATTACAACAATTTTTACAGGTATATCGAATTACGCCAAATAATGCTACGCCATTGGCATTATCACCCGCAGAAGTGATGTTCGCCAGAAAAATCAGATCAGTGTTTGATAAGTTGCTACCAAAACAAACGAAACAAATAACACAGTCGGGCGTACTAAAAAGAAAATTCCACCCAGGAGAAAAAGTTTTTTTTTAAAGCATATAAAAACAATACATCTTATTGGGAACAAGGTACAATTGAAAAAAAGTATCGGGAATATGGTTTACATAGTACAGGGACCCAAATTCTCACATAAAAGACACGTAAATCAAATAAGAAAGTGACTGTTAGAGGACTCTAACGGTGCACCCCAGGAAGAAGTGATGGATACGATTTTCGATTCATTTGATATACAAAGGCCGCAAACAAGGCCAGAACCACGAAAATCGTCCAGAAAAAGGAAATTCACAGAACCTTTGTTAATAGATCCAAAGAGAAAAAAATATTAAAAACCCCTGCTACGCAAAAGCTTCGGAAGTGGGGGGTGTTATGGGAACTTACGCATAATAATAATGGACTATTCCTGACATTATAAATACTGCGCCTCTCAAGAGGTATGAGGATATTGTAAGGTGAGGAGAGATAATTGAGAGCATATTGTAAGGACATTGGAATAGTGATACTTGTCGAGACAACATAGTTTACTTTAACCAAATCTGATAGTCATTACTAATACTTTTACTCCTTTGTATTATATTTCTGTTGTAATATATCTTTGTATTCCATACCTGTGTTCGTGTTATTCTTTCATTTGGTTCTAACCTTGGACCATCACCGTGGTACAAGGAACTTGGACCATAACAATATCAAAGTAGCCTGATCTCTATAGCTTTGGATGGCAGCTACTCTAGGAGAAAAACTAGACAGAATTAAAAACTGTGGAGAAGGGAAATCACTCCAATTATCTTCCCTAAGAAATAAGTTATGGTAATTCACAAAATGATATAACTATAGATAGAGAACTAGTGGATAAGTGAATAAGGAAATTAAAAAAAAAATTCTTGATGACGCGTTTCGTTTCGAGAAAGAACTTCTTCGGAATAAATACGGTTTAGTTTGAATTACATTTATATCTACACAGAACAAATTGTAAGGAGAAACAAAAAGGATGGGTTTACATCTAATATCCTGATACTCCTGTATCTTGAGAAGCCGTGTTCAGGACTTCAGATTCAAACTGTCCGGATTCATCTATATCCCAGCCGAGGACATATTCCATGAACAGTAAACAGCGAGTCTTGGATTTTCCCAAATTGAGGACTGTGAGCTGGAACTTCTTTCTATATGTAGGAAATATATATTTCCAAAGGGAATAATCAATCGATTTTTTATTCAACATCATTCCTACTACGCGAAACGTTATTTTTGTAAATAACTATGTATAACTATGTTTGAGTAGAGATTCTGTTTTTCTTTTTTTAACGGTGTAAATTAATTAAGTCTAGTGGCTTGTGCAGTCGAGAGACTTAAGGAAAATGTGATCTCGGGCAGTGTTCGAGCCTTTGTCACCAATTGTAGGAGAAATCATCGTCTGATTAGGGGAGCTTTAGCCGGCTCGGTCACAGAGTGCATCACAGCTCATCAAGGTCCAATTAACAAGGTTTTAAAGAAAACGTATCTTCTTGTTAAAATATTTGCGAATGCCTGTATCTGCACATTTCTGTATTCGAAACAGAAACAAAGTTTCTGAGTAATCAATAAACTGTGTACCAGAGATTATTTTCCTATTACGCTAAACATTATTTTTGTGGATACCACCGTGTGAGTAGACAACCTGTTTTATTTTTTAAACCTTGTAATTTACGTCTATCTAATCCACAAGTTTTGAATTCAGAATTTTTCTTTAGGTTTAGTGGCCAAACATCTAGTGTCATTTAAAAAGTTTCATTAGTTTAGTTTATTACAAATATTTCATATATTATTACGAATTATTATATTTTTTATTATTTTTATTACGAATATTTAATATTTAATTTCTTTATACATTAGTAACTGAGTTTAACGTAACATTGTTTTAATGAAGATGCAGTATTTTCGAATTTGTAGACAAGGCATTTCAATTCTTAACTTGTATATATTACGTTCTGTGTATTTTACTGTTTTCTATTGCTTAACATTTAAACAGATTTAGCACTAACATAATAAAAGAAATGGTGTTATATTTGGCGATTATTTTATATTATTTATTATATATAATAATTTTAGATTTATTGGTTAATTTCTACTATTTATCATTTAAACATATATTATTTTAAGAGTATGAATTGGTATATTTGAAGACAATCCGTTTGCTCCGACGTCCACTTAAAAAAATGTTTGGGTGTTTGTGGGGAGGATAGCATCTCCGATGGAGGAACTGTCGAACTCCTTTCGGAGTAGTTTGTCCGCGTTGGTCCCCACCCGGTATCCAACTCTCACCTGTGGCTCTAAATAGCTGTTTCTATGCAACAGTGGCCACATCACGGTAAACCGTTTCGACTGGCGGACAAACCATGTAATTTCAGGTCTGTCAGCCCTATTGCATGCGAAGTCTGATTCTCGGCGAAGTGGGCGGAAAGATCTTCTACAGATTCAACAGTCACGAAGGCGGTGTCAGCAAGTGCCGTGGAGTGCATCACAGCATGGACGTGACATGTAGAAGTTCTTTCTTTCTTTCTTTTTCCCTTCTTTCTTTCTTTCTTTTTGGATTATGCCTTCTTTCTTTCTGTCTTTCTTTTTTTCGTTTTGCTTTTTATGCCTGCTTTCTTTCATTCTCTCTTTTCGAATTATGCTTTCTTTCTCTATTTCTATCTTTCTTTTTATTGAATTATGCTTTCTTTCCTTCCTTCTTTTCAGCTTATGATTTCTTTCTTTCTTCCTTTTCAGGTGATGCTTTCTTTTTTTTTCGCATTATGTTTTCTTTATTTCTTTGTCTCTCTTTCTTTCTTTCGTTTCTGTTCATGCTCTCTTTTTCACTCTCATTCTCGTTCTTTCTTTCTTTCTTTCTTTCTTTTTTTCTTTTCGGATTATGCTTTCTTTCTGTTCGGATTATGCTTGCTTTCTTTTTTTCTTTTTGTATGATTGTGCGTTCGACCGATTCACCAACCATATAATAAATAAATTTATGTAAAAATAAAAGTAGGCTTATATACAGAATCGACTTATATAAGAAGGCATACATTTTTGTTTCAGATGCCTTAAAAATCAAGCCGGCTGTTGTGAATAGTTTGCTAATCACCTGTTTCAATTGTCCTTGTCTGGAACGAGGCTAACAGTTTTAATTGTTTACACCTAGAAGGTATGGTTATTAATGATCGTGTTTGAATTTGAGACAATGAATATTTTTTTTATATATTTCTAGACAGACTCGACAATTTCAATAGGAATATAAATAAAAAGTATATGTGATGGCGCTATGAAATGAAAAGCAAAGACAATGTCGTTTGTAATGTTCGTTCCAAAAGGATGTAAGAAAAGAAGAGAAAAAACAAAAACAAAAAACAAAACAAAACAAACAAAACCACAAAAAACCGCCCGAATGAAGACATAACTCTAAGTGAATCATTCGCTGGGGTACCTAGACCTTTGAATTTAAGCGCTGTACTTGACTGGCGTTGAGATCTCATCAATTTAGGGTTGAGCTGGCTAGATGTAACCGTAAATTCTATGCTAACAGTTTCTTTTCTCGTATTTCTTGCTTGTGGAACTCCCTTCCGGCTCCAGGCTTTCCAGCCAACTTTAATCTGCAAAAATTTAAATGCAATGTCAATCGCTATCTACTGTCCTCCTGATTACTCTTTTCTCTTCTCGCTCAATAGAAAAGTTTCTGTTCCTAATTCATCCTCACCCAGCAACCCCTTTTGTCTTAGTTATATCACTCTCTGCCTTACATGGGGTGAAACAGATTAAAAAAAAAGAATCGTTTTAATGGTGCTGTAACAAGTATCTCTTAATAAAATTGACATTTTTTGTCAGCATTACCCACTGAGTATACTAAACACAGTGCCACGCAAAAGTTTACACCAAATTACAAAAAAAATGTTTCTTTAGGTATTTCTATCACAGATTAACGAAACTTTTACTGCTAATAATACACATATTTAAGTCTTTAGTCAAACAATGAGATTTAAAAAAATAATCAATAAGAATATCCTACGAAGAAAAAAACAATATTTGATATTTTTTAATGTTGCATTCATTGCCATTTTGGTATAAAAAAAAGTACGTTTCATCATTTTATTATAAAAATGTACTGGGGGGGGGTTCACTATTTGCCCATAGCTGGGACCCTAACAGGTGCTACCACCCAGTTCCGGTTGAACCTGGGAATGTCAGCGATTAAGAGGTCTTTATGAATTTAAGCGCAGTACTGTCATCGTCAGTTTACAGTTGAATTGGCGAGATGTAACCATAGGTTCTATGTTAACAATTTCTTTTCTCGCACTTCATGCAAGTGGAACTCTCGTCCGGCGCCATGCTTTCCAGCCAACTTTGAACTTCAAAAGTTTAAATACAATGCCAATCGTTATCTACTGTCTTCTTGATTCTTCTTCTTTTATTATTCTCGTTCCTTAATAATGTTTATCTTTTTTCTTATTCTTTCATACACAGTAACCTCTTGTGCCTTAGTGGCTTTATTGCCAGCTTAATGAATATCTCAACTTAAAACTGTCTTCATTTTTACAAAATGCATCAGATAACCTTGCTATCAACGTTTTTAATAGATTATAACTCGGGAGCAAAAGAAAATAAGCAGTTTAATGATCGAAGAATTGTTTGGAAGTTATATAAGAATATCTGTGGATGATGTCAGTAAAAATTGTTTAAAACTGAAGGAAATACTTTCTTTAAGTAATAAAACCTAAATATACAGGGAATTGTGTAGAGGCATGATTGCTAACGTGAAGAAGAAGAAGAAGAAGAAGAAGAAGAAGAAGAAGAAGAAGAAGAAAAGAAGGAGGAGGATGAGGAGGAGAAGAAGAAGAAGAAGAAGAAGAAGAAGAAGAAGAAGAAGACGACGACGACGACGACGACGACGACAACGACAACAACGCTGTTTGCTTAACTTCTCTCTGGAATATTCATCGACTAATACATGCGATATACGCCATAATTTTAAGAGCCGTTTTATACATGTGAACAACTTATATACGAACAGACATAGAGAACGTGTGTGCGTTTGTGTGGAGGTTAATATTAAGTTTGTCGGTGTGTAACGCATGGAGCCTAATGTGTACACGGCTGTACTGGGGAAAACACGACGGTATATTGTATTCGGAGGAGAAGTCTGACAAAAAATTGGTTCGACAGCAAACAATAACAAAGGGAAGTAACTGATCTGATCTTGATGAACATTTTCTGCGAGAGATGTGCTTCCTTCCTCGCTGAAAGCCGACACAAAGGGAGACAGCGTGACTAGCAGGTTGCTGGAGAGGAGAACGAAGCGAAACACAAGTAAACGCAGTGTCGGAAAACAGACAACAACAACAACATTAAGTAAAAAAAACAAAAAAAAAAACGACCACAACAGAGAGAGAGAGAGAGAGAGAGAGAGAGAGAGAGAGAGAGAGAACACGTTCCAACAGGTGAACGAATGGACATGGGAAAAAAATCCGCTCAGGGCATAAGAGTTAGAAAAGGCGAGTTGGGAACTTTTGATAGCGACGGATGACGAGGTTGAACGACACTAGGCACGCGTGATCACAATGCTATATAGGAATGTGGTGAATAGAAAAAAAAAAACTAAGACTGAAATTGATTATGGATCATATTTTTAACATTTTCTTCAGTATATACGAAGAATTACCCAAAAGTTCAGAGAAGTTAATACACAAAGTGTTTTCCGTAGGGAAAGACACATTATTTCATTAGAATAATTTTCAGAGGTGTAAAAATAGCCTGCAGAATATCGTTAATTACCGGTAAATTAAAAGGTAATTGGGACTAAAGTTCTTCTTAGCCCTCAAGTGGAACACATATATCCAATCAATCTTGGGCACCTTGAGGTGGTGTTATGGTTAGCAAGCTTGTGTCGCTAGAACAATTACGACTGAATGGTGACTTTAATCCTCACTGGGTGCCCCTTACTGTCGGCTTTGTGCCACATCTAAGCTACACTTGGAAAATCACTATATCCAATCCATCTTAAAAGATGGTTGAAAAATGGTCAATTACTTGTACCTTTCTAGAAAGTACCTAACGCTTCCTACTGTTTACTTCTTAGAGACTAAATTAAAAAAAATATGCCAAGATGAAAAGAACCTTATGAGGCTTTAAAAAATCACATAGTTGAAGGATATAATGATGGAAAAGGCTGCGATCAAAACGACGTGGAGTGCACGTCTCCACCGTGTGACAAATTATTTATAAATGAAAGGCCTTTGGTATGAGGGCATAAGTGGACGTTCACGAAAAATAACTGCAAGATTAAGTAGACATCTATTTCAGCAAGCCCAGTCGAATACTGCTGTGATCTCTGGTTCCTCAAAGCTTCCTGACAAGTGTCAGAATGAATGTAAATACGTCTACAGAACGACGAAATATCAATGATGCTGGTCTTCATGGCAGAATACCCGAAATAAAGTCACTGCTTATGAAAAACCACAAACAAGCTCGACTCATTTATGCCAAAGCCCGTATTAATATGCTTCATGCGTTATGGCAAAAGGCTTTATGGTTGGATGAGACCAAACTAGAGGTTTTTGAGAGGAACGATAGGTGACATATCTGGCTTGATTCTAATACGGCTTTTGAAGAGAAGAATTTAGTGCCAACGATCAAACATGGCGACGGAATCATTATGATTTGGGGTGCTTGCTGCAGCTGGAACAGGCAAAATAGGACACATTGATGGTACAATGAACACTACAAGAAACCAAGGAATTTTGAATAAAAGTCTCTTGTCCTCGGTTCGAAAGTTGGGTTTAGGTCGGGGCTGTTTGACGTCGTGGCCTCAAAAGAAGGAGTCACTAAATATTAAATGGAAGTTTCACTTACTTTTGCTCTTGTTAATTTTTTAACTTTAATTAATATTTTTATTGCAGCTTGATAAAAATCTTTGAAAGTTGTTGTAATTCATTTAATAATATTGTTTTTTTCTTAATGAGTATATAGTTTAATTAAGATTTGTTGATTATCTGAAAAAAAAGAGACACATTTTTTAATATTGTCTTAGGGGTTCACTTACTTTTGCGCAGAATTACATATATGTTCTTTACTGATATCATCCGGGATATAGTATAAAAGCCCGTAATAAATTGTACCTTAAGATTATTTATTCATTGAATGCATCTCGTAAAAAGTGCTTTTTCTAATGGAAATTCGGCAAACATGGACAAACTTGGACAAACGTGCCCATAATAAGACGTTGTGTCAAATGGAGAGTTTTTCCCATGACACCGCTTCTCTCTTCGGCAATGTTTATTGTTTTGAAAAGAGAGGACTAGAATTGCAATAAAACCTAAACATATGATGAAAATCAACGTATACAGAATAATTTTATATTCGCAACATTCTAAAAACTAACACAATGCAATATTTATCATTTATTGATCATAAAGAAACAAATGTTAAAAACGATTTTTATTCATAAATTCATAAACATTTACTAACTATTCAAATATGTGAACCAACTATAAATAAATCCTTATTATTTAGAAATTATTAAAGTTCGAATCAATTGGCAATTAGCCGATGTTTTGTCAACCATTTCAATAAATAGTATTATAAATAGTGTAAATAAACAATTTAATAAATAGCGTTTATTATTTTTGCTGTTAATTGTCAAGAACAAAGAAAAAGTATAAATTCAATTTCGTTTGTTTAGGATTTATTACAATTCTAATCATCGCTTTTTAAAACAATAAACATTGCCAGGGAATGGACATAGTTAAAAAAAGAAGCGGTGTCATGGGAAAAACCGTCCCTCTTGTCAATCCATCTTATTGCGTGCACCTTTATCTATGTTTTCCATTTTTCTCTATAACAGAAAAAAGCATAAGACTATCCTTTAAAAAAATGAAATTTTGTAAACATTTCCCGCCATTTCAGATCGAATAAAGAAGTAGAATTTACGTGTTCTCATATTTGGGAATGAATGTTGAACAATCTCCTCACAGATGAAGAAACTTGATACAACATAAATATGGTTTTACAGACGGATATTGAGTAGACCTTGGACCGAAAATTTGAACAACGATGAAGTTATAGAGAAAATGGACACATATATGTAATATCAGGAAGGATTTCCAAATCAATGTTTTTTCACAGCAAACAGAGGCTAAAATTTCCTATACCAATTTACCGTCATCCGCTGACAGCAACAAAATTAACCGACAATCTGTATATATATATATATATATATATATATATATATATATTAAGCATTTCACCTCAAGTAAGGCGGGAATGCCACTAGCACGCAAGGTTTGCAGAGAGTTATAGCAAGAGGAAAGAGTAAAGAGGGGTGTTTGAGAAAAGGATATACAGAAGGACGCGGATCAGGATCAAGGTATCAGATGTCGATTGACATTACATTTGAATATTTGAAGATTATAGCTACCAGGGAAGCAACTAGAAGAAAAGGAAGTTCCATTGTCGGGAAGTGCGAGAGAAGAAGCTGTTGGAGTAGAAGAGGCGGTTACATTTAACTGACTCGGCAGTGAAAAGGTGCAACTGAGATGCCAACCTTGTAGTACGCTTAAATTCATGCAGTTAGGGCACCGGTGAAAATAGCTCATCAGAGCAGATGCCATGAAAATATTTATATGAAAAGACAGAGGGACACCACATCACGTCTGTGAGAAATTGACTGTAGACGAGATGCCTGATGAGGAGCTATCACGTTGCATATCCGTCTCTGGATTTTGTCGAGAACCTCAAGACGAACAGCGAGGGCACCAGACCATATATGGCAACAATATTCAATATTCAAAATATGTAAACCAACTATGAGGAAATCCTGATTATTTACCATTTTATAAAGTTCGAATCAATTGGCAATTAGCCGATGTTTTGTCAACCATTTCAATAAATAGTATAATAAATAGTGTAAATAAACAATTTAATAAATAGCGTTTATTATTTTTGCTGTTAATTGTCAAGAACAAAGAAAAAGTATAAATTCAATTTCGTTTGTTTAGGATTTATTACAATTCTAATCATCGCTTTTTAAAACAATAAACATTGCCGACGAGTGGGGGTAGTTAAAAAAGGGGTGTGATAGGAAAATAGTCCACGTGACACTCAGTCTTATTGTGAGCAGGTTTATCTATGTTTGCCATTTTTCTATATAACTAAACAGAAAAGAAGCATAAAACTATGCTTTCAAAAGTTAGTTTTCTCGATTCTTTTACGCTTTTGCCGTGGACATATATGTAAACATTTTTCGCCGTTTAAGACCGTGTAAAGAGGCAGAATTTACGAGTCCTCATATTTGGCAGTGAATGATGGACAATATCCTCATAGATGAAGAAGAAACTTGAGGCAACAGAAGGATGTTGAGAAGACCGCGATGTCAATGAGAAAAACGACATTTTGATACTCCCTCTTATTACGGGCACGTTTGCCATGTTTGACAGAAATTCTATGTTAGTGCAAATAAACATCATTTCAGGTTCAAATCGAATTTTGGGAAGAAGCTCATTTTATCTTTCTCTAGAGCTTTCTCTCTCTTCTCTCCATGCTGCCAACTCTCCTTCATTTTCTCTCTTCTCCCAGTTCAAGCTTCCTTTCTCTTCCTAATTCCTTTTCTTTACTTTCTCTTCATTTGCTTTTCTCTTCTATCTCCCTCCCCCTCTTTCATTATCACCGTACAGACCTTGAGTTATCTCCAGCCATGATGAACGGTTTATCTCTCAAAAAGGCTCCTTGCTTTGAACTCTGCTTTGATATGAGGGAACATGACCTACTATGCGTCTGATACCTCCACCAATGAATTTGGATGCGATCTGAGTAGATGTCGCTTGTCTGTTACCCCATATAGTTTTAACCAGTCGCGTCAGTCCACGTTTGGCAGTAATCGTAATATTTGCCGTTTCCTTATAACGAAAGATTCGCCATTCATTAACCGAGCATCCAGCGCTATTGTCGGTTTAGATTTATAAATTCTTTGACTTAAAACAATTTTTCAGGAAAGTAGGTTTGTCGCGTCCAATAGCTCTCTTCCTGTTTCTTGTTTCGCCATTAACTACGATCTTGAAAAATTTAACATCAATGCAATCTTCTGTCTTCCTGAAACATGTTACTTTATTTCTCCTTACTAAAGTTTTCTCATTCACTCTTATTAACTGCTTGCGTCTTAGTGGCATTATTGCCTTGATTGCAGTGAAATAATTAAAAAAAAGGAAACATTTGGCATTCATTGACTGAGTATCCAGTGATACTGTCAGTTTAAATTTATAAAGTCATTCTCTTAAAACAATTTTTAGGAAAACCAGTTTCTCAAGTTCAATGGCAGTTATCGCGCTTTCCAGTGTTGATGAGAGTTTCCTTCCTAATCTTTTATTTGAAGAAGTGTGGAATGTTAACATCTTAATTATGTTATTTTCTTTTTGAGCTACATATCCTATCAACTTTAGTTGTTTGCCATATATATATAAGTGCGCAGGTATGCAGAAAATAGAAAAGAACACGTTGGGTGCGTAATCCGGAGTTCCTTAGTATTTTTGTTTTTATTTTTAAGAAAAC